AGGAGATACTGAAGCATATTTGGCGATAGTCGAGGTCTATAGTGGAGCTTGTGGGGACCACCAAGCTGGCCATAAAATGAAATGGATGCTATTTCAACAGGGTATTTATTGGCCAAGCATGTTAAAGGATTGTATTGAATTTGTTAAGGGCTAACAAGAATGCCAAAAGCATGCAGGTATTCAACATGTATTTGCAAGAGAATTGCACACGATCATTAAGCCATGGTCGTTTCGAGGATGGGCGCTGGATGTCATAGGAGAAATTTAACCGACCTTATTGAAACAACAAAAGTTCATCCTAGTAGGGATAGACTACTTCACTAAATGGATAAAAGCAGTACCATTGATTAATGTGGACCAAGAAGTAGTGATTGACTTCATTCAAAAGCATATTATTTATAGATTTGGGATTCCTGAGACAATTACTACAGACCAATGATCAGTTTTTATTGGACGGAAGATGCAAGAGTTTGCATCTGAAACAAGCTTTAATTTGGTGACATCCACGCCTTATTATGCTCAAGTCAATGGCCATGTCGAGGCTTCCAATAAAGTAATAATTGGGTTAATTAAGAAACTCGTCACTAAGAAACCCAAAAATTGGAACAAGACGTTGGATCAAGTTTTATGGGCTTGTCGGACGTCTCCCAAGGAAACGGCTGGGTCGATGCCCTTTCGGTTGACATTTGAACACAACATAGTCTTTCCATTTTAGATACACTTGTAATCAGTACGAGTGTAGCGCCAACACGAACTTTCATCAGAACAATATTGGAATATGATGTTGGATGAAACAATGGATCTGGATGAAGAAAGCCTAGTTACACATGACGTGATAATTTGATAAAAAGAGCGGGTTGCAAGGGCCTATAATAAAAAGGCCAAGATAAAAATGTTTGTGGTCGATGACTACGTGTGGAAAGTTATTCTTCCTATGGATCGGAAAGATAGAACTTTGGGGAAGTGGTCACTGAATTAGGAAGGACCATTCCAAATACTACAGGTGTTCACCAATAATGCGTATGAGACCGAAGAGTTGGGCTTCGATCAAAGAATCTTGAAAGTAAATGGTAAATATTTGAAAAAGTATTAATCTATGCTTCAAGAGATTCGAATTACTGCAAAATAAAGTATGTCGAATATTATGGGCCAAAATGGACAAGTGCCAAGATGGCTATCAAATGGGATTACGTATACAAAAAATAAAACACAGTTGAAATGGGGGCAACATCAAAATTACAAAGGAAACCAAGATTTGAGGTTTTCCAAGAAGACTCTTTTGTAGGTAAATTTTTGGTCGAGGCGAATCCTTTTAACTAAAAGATGGTGAATATTGTTTCTGAGTTGAAGGGCTTTTTCGCGATGAGTTTATTCCCTCAAGAGTAGATTTATGAACTATGTAGAATGCAAGATCATCAGATGAATCCAATGAGGCCTTTTGATGCTCAAGGTCGACAACCTTCTGATTGAGCGCAGCGGTTTGGGTTCGATAACTCAGGATTTCCTGGTCCAAAGCAGAGTGCTTCTCTAGACAGTTGTCTCTCTTGGCCTCGAGGTCATTATCTTTTTGAACATAAATTTCGCTCAAGTCCCACTCACATATCATCTCATTTTCTTTGGTTTTAAGTTAAAGATCGGTGTGTCGGCGGAAGGAGAGATCTTTTACAAGTTAGTTGAAGAAAGCCTCAAAATCTATCAAGTACTGAGCCAAAGAATCAGGAAGAGGGTATTAAGAGATGGTGCCGAGAAGTTTAAAAATCGTAGCCGCCATGAAATCTTTCTCCTCGATGACAGCTAAAAACTCACTTTCCAACATATAAGACCTTAGTTCGTGAAGGGCATGGATTACTTCAGCGTCTAGTTCAACGATGGGTAGAGACGTCGAACCAAGGTTTGGTGAAGCAATTGGAGTATGTTGGAGAAGGTGAATCTTCCTAAATGCTACCAATAAATCTTGTTTTTTAGCACTTCGGTCTCCTTCTGGGTGGCGGAGTCGAGGGGCGGAACTTTCATTCAAAATATGACAAGTGGGTTTAATGAAAGCTGGATGACTGGACCTTTCAATGTTGTTGCCTGCACAAGATAGCCCCTGGGGAGGATTCCCAAGTTAGCATAAAGAACAAAACTAGAATTTGAAAATAAAAGAGGAAAGGAGATACCTCTAAGTTTATCGACACAACATTGTGTGTTTGTGGGACTGAGCCTACAAAGAAGGAAGGTGTTGTTTCCCGCATTTTTTAAGAAGGCGAAGTCAGGTTCAATTCGACTGGTGAAGGATGCTCCTGATTCTGAAAAATCAATGATGCACGAGGTTGTTGAGTCTCCAGGGAATTAAAAGCGTCAATAAGCCTTTGAAGGAAGTTGAGTATGGAGAAAAATTTCTCCTGGTGGGCCACCATTGGTCGAAAAACTTTGAAGTGAAGGAGTGTTCAAAGTCGAACACTGGAAGTTCAAGAGTTTGAGTGGCCCGATGGAATCTAAGGTAAGCCTTATGTTCCTTAACAGTGTGTTGTGAACCCACCCAAATGAAGTCAGTGCAAGGTAGAACAAGGACGAAGGCAACATTTGGCTAAGTCCTAACTATCGAGGTACCGAGTTTGGTTGGTAACCCATGAAACCATACAGTATCGAGCTAGCGTTGATTCCACAAGAAAGCATTGTGGGTGTTAAAAAGGCCCTCCATACGGCATTTATACGGACAACATTTGGAGAGGTATATGGGAAATGTTCTCGAAACTAGTCTGGACCGAATCGACGTTCCACAAAAGGGGCCATGGCTGAGACAAATGTCTTCATTTCAACGAACATATTGATATACTCCATGAATATATATCGATCAAATTTGTGGAGGGGAATGGTCAAGGATAGCCTCAAACTTTCGACGACTCTAACTTTGTTGAGACGCATAATTTTTTCCGGAAACAGGATAACCCAACTGAAATTCGAATGCCCAGGTCTCCACATTACAAACTCTCCCTCAAGTGCGAATCTATCCATACTCTTCAATCCACACTCTTCAATAGGAAGCTTCTACCCACGAGTCACGACTATGTGTGGATACTTTCGATACAAGTGAGTCGGCCTCTTCACTCGCACCTTAGGAGAAACACACATTTGTGAGAGACACACCAGATACTCACCAAAAACCTTAAGGTGATAGGTGTGTGGATTCTCCCACTTATAAATACTCAAGTTTTCACATTCTTAACCAATGTAAGACTTCGTCACACTACTGTTGACAAGCAATTTTCGACTGGAGTTATAAGCCTTAAGTTGTGGGGTTTATTTGGCTGAAGAGGCATAAAGTTTTCGTAGAAAACAACAAGATGCGTCGATCAAGTCAAAAGATATCGACCAAAAGGAGCTAGTCGATGAAGGACCTAGGATGCACATGCGATCATCGACAGGAGCAGGCATCGAAAAACAGGGATTCATATTGGTGGAAACAGTTATCAACATACACGACCAGTGAAGACGTGGGAATATTCAAAACAATTTTTTCCACGAAGCCCAACATGGGCTAGTAATCGTCGGCGGTTACGTATCTAGGATGTCTATTTAAGCAAATTTTTGTATTTGTGTTAGGGGTCACATTTCTTCATATTTAATAGCAATACACTCAAAGTATTCGCATCTAAGAGAAAAATGAGTTCAAGTTTAACAATGTATGATTGCTTCCACATCTAATTTTATAGTAATTTCTATTTTTTTTTTATATTTTAAATTATAAGTCTTGTCTTTGATTTATCTGTTTTACAATTGTCTTTATCTTTTGTTCTTTTATCTTTTATAAACCAGTTTTCAATTCAAAAAACACTGAAAACACTAAGTCTAAGATTATTGTAGTTGATCCTATAAATAATATTTAATAAAAGACTGACGATTATTTCGCGGAAAAACAACTAGTCATACTTGAACTATTTTTCAACATGCATTGAGGCTTCTTGCGACACCTTGGCTCTAGAATATTTTCTTGTTGGTTGGGTTTGTTTATTGGACCAACCCATTCTTTCAGCAAGTGCTGAATGAGTCTTGCATCTATTAACACCTTCCTTTGACCTTAGCTATCAAAATCTGAGTGTCAACTTGAACTCGATCTCTTATTCTATCGGGACAAATTCTTGAACACGTTTTTTTCTTGAATTTAATTACGAGACTTATTTATAGCTTATAGAGTAAGTTAATATATCCGATCCAATTGTATACCATCAAAATACATAGTAGATCACACAAATTAAGGAACCATTGTCCCTAAAAAAAAAGTGTGAAAAGGTGTTGGTTGTGTCATATCTTCGTCAAAACAAGCCATAGAATTATTACTAAAGCTGTATCTAAATTAAGAACGGTGACACAAAAGTCATTCCCCTAAGAATAAAAGTCATTCCTTTTCATTCTTTGTCAGCATTCCAATGTCATCTTATTTAGAATCCTTTATTTCAAGTGACGGCCATAAAGCATGGGCTATGTTTGACAAAGAATCTTCCCTACTAAGAAAAATACATTATCAAAAGCAAAAGCAATACAAATAAAACTATATACTAGTATTTCCTAACATGATAAAGTAAAAGAAAACTAATTATGATATTGAACTGTCTAAAGATGCTGCTTGCAGACCAAGATAAGCAAACATCACCTTTTCATACTCTTCTCACCTCTCTTTATCCTTCACAATTTTGTTCTTGGCAATATTTTTAAAAATAAAAACTTATATATATATATATATATATATATATATATATATATATATATATATATATATATATATATATATATATATATATATTATATATATATATAAGTGACTCCCTTAAACATAATGCATCTTCTTTCTCCACCGTTTTCAAACCCCTAAAACTCATCACAAATCACAACCACATCCACAAAAATCTCAAACTTTACCATTTTTGTTGCTTATTATGCATTGCCATGCATGAGATAAGATACACATAACACAATACCTTAAACGCACCGTTTCAAGAAACCCTAACTAAATTACAAAAATGGGCACGGTTCGAAAACTCATAGTGGAAGTTATAGACGCACAAAACCTTGCACCAAAGGACGGTCACGGAACTTCAAGTCCTTACATCGTAATCGACTTCTATGGTCAAAGAAAAAAAACCCGAACCGTGGTTCGCGACTTGAACCCGGTTTGGAACTAAATGCTGTCGTTTAACGTCGGCGAACATAACGAAATTTTCGGCTGCGTGTTAGAACTCGACGTTTACCATGATCAGAAACACGGGCCGATTCGGAGAGAAAACTCACTCGGTCGAGTTCGACTCAGTTCAACTCAGTTCCTTAGTCAAGGTGAAGAAGCTTTGATTTATTATGAATTGAAAAAGAAAAGTTTGTTCAATACCGCACAAGGAAAAATTGGATTGAAAATTTACTATGTAGATGAAGAAATTTCTCCGGAACCGGTACCGGAAAAACCAGTGTCACCACCACCTGAGAAGATAGATGAAGCAAAGATTAACGATACTGAAAAAGTAGAGCCACCACCGGCACCGCCTTCTGAACCATCGCCAGAAAGTGAAAAACTAGAAGAAGATCAACCGGTGGTAGAGAAAACCGAACCATCTCCTAAACCCGAACCAAAGTCCAAATCAGAATCTGTTACAGAAGGTGAAGATCAGGTGGATGTGTTACAACCGGAACCATTTCAAATGACAGCTGCAACTATTTCGAGATCAAATTCAGAAATCAAATTAAACGGAATCAACGGTCCACAACCAATTAGAAAATCATGATCAGCGGCTAGTTTTGCATTAGAAGCTTCAGTAGAAAGCATGTTGATCGAACGGTCCACATTCGATCTCGTTGAAAAGATGCACTATCTCTTCGTTCATATAGTAAAAGCAAGGTACTTACCAACAAACGGTAACCCGATAGTGAAGATTTCAGTTTCGGGTTCGGGTTCGGATCAAACGGTTAATTCCAAACCCGCTCTCAAAACAACGTTATTCGAATGGAACCAAACATTCGCTTTCACCCGCGACACACAGGATTCTTCCCCGATCCTAGAAATCACTGTGTGGGACCCGCAAACAAAAGCTGACGTGGAGAATATTAGTTTACTTGGTGGTATTTGTTTTGACGTGAATGAAATTCCGGTGAGGATCCACCGGATAGTTCTCTTGCACCACAGTGGTATAGAATAGAAGGTGGTGGGGCACAACATGGTGACTTAATGGTTGCCACGTGGATTGGTACACAAGCTGACGAATCATTTTTTTATTGAATAAATTTTAATGTTATAAATAGTGGATTTCTATTAATAAGTTGGTGAGAAGGTTAAAAGTTTATTGTAATTCGAATGTCAAAAGATAGTGACTTATAATAGTATTTACTAATATTATTTGCTTTCCTAGAATAATAGAAGTTCTTGAGTCTATATAAAGACCAAGATTGTATTCTATTTGATAACAAGTTATAAAATTATTTACTTCCTTTTTAACAAATTAGTATCAGAGCTAATGACAAACATGATGAATCAAATGCCGTTGCCACGGTTAACGAAGTCAAATTACGAAAACTGAAATCCAAATGAAAGCTCTTCTTGGATCTCTAGACACGTGAGAGGTGATCAAAGATGAGTTTGAAGAACCAACAGATGTTGCGGGATATACGACAACTCAAAATAAAGTGTTGAATGAGACGCGATCGAAGGATAAAACGATATTATACATGTTGTTCAGGGTTGTTGACGAATCAGGTTTCGAAAAGATTACCGGTTCGACTACGTCGAAAGAAGCATGAGACACGTTAGAAAATGTGTTCAAAGGAGCAGACCGAGTGAAGCAAGTTCGACTCTAAAATCTTCGTGGAGAATTGGAGAGGATGCAGAAAAAGGAGACAAAAATTGTATCTAACTACATCACACATGTACAAAAGATGGTGAACCAACTCACTAGAAATGGCGAAACAGTAACTGATGCACGAGTTGTTGAAAAGATTTTGAGATGTTTAACAGATAAATTTGAGAATATTGTGTGTGCAATAGAAGAGTCGAATGACCTTTCAACGCTCTTAGTCGAAGATCTCGCTGGTTCTCTCGAAGTACATGAACAACGTAAGATGAAAAAGAAGGAAGAATCAGTCGAGGAAGCAAATCAAACCAAGGAGTCCATCAAAGACGAAAAGGTACTCTTTTCTCAAAACTTTCGAGGAAGAGGACGTGGCCATGGAAGTCGTGACAGTGGTCGCGGCAGCAACTTCGAGAGAGGACATTCGAACCAACAAAATTGGCGTGGTAGAGGACGTGGTCAAAGAGCTGGTCGATCGAACCACTCCAACTTCGAATGCTACAAGTGTGGGAAGTATGGTCATTACGCGAAAGATTGTAATTCCTACAAATGCTATAAATGTGATAAAGTGGGACATCTTGTAAAAGATTGTCAAATCGAAAAGAAGGTAGAAGAAACAACCAATCTAGCCTTGGAAGCTGAAGCGAATGAAGGTTTTCTCCTGATGGCTCAAAATGAAATCAACACCAATAATGAGAATGTTTGGTATCTTGACTCAGGAGCAAGTAATCACATGTGTAGTTACAAACACCTGTTTAAAGAAATGAAAAAAAATGAAGATGGTAATGTGTCTTTCGGAGATGCATCGAAAGTGAAGGTCGATGGAAAGGGCACAATATGTTACTTACAGAAGGATGACTTGATTATATCAATCCAAGATGTTTACTATGTACCAAATCTCAAGACCAACATCTTGAGTTTGGAACAACTTACAGAAAAAGGTGTTTCGTTACTTATAAAAGATCGAATACTACATTTGAAGGACAAAGTAGGACATTTGATCGCCCGTGTCGAAATGGAAAGAAATCGAATGCAAACTGAATTTGAGGAACGTTCGAGAAAAATGTCTACAAGTCGACATGCAAGACAAAGCGTCACTATAGCATATACGCTTTGGTCATCTACATCATGCTGGTTTGAGAAGGTTGGCTTAAAAGAACATGGTGCAAAGACTAACAGACATGGACTATGAAGGAAAGTTTTGTGAAGAATGTGTGCTTAGAAAACAAACAAGAACCTCATTTCAAAAGAAGGCATAATTTCAAGCTAAACATATTTTCGAATTGATTCATACCGACATGTGTGGGCCAATCACTCTGGAATCCTTCAGTGGAAAAAGGTACTTCATTTCTTTTATTGATGATTTCTCACGAAAGACCTGGGTTTATTTCTTGAAAGAAAATTCTAAAGCATTAAAGGTGTTCAAAAAGTTCAAAGTAATGGTAGAGAAGGCAACCGACAGACATATCAAAGTAGTTCGATCTGACAGAGGTGGTGAGTACACTTTGATGGCCTTTATAAAATATTATGAAGAGCAGAGCATAAGGAGATTCCTAACTGCATCATATTCACCTCAGCAAAATGGTGTGGCTGAAAGAAAGAATCGAACTGTTCTTGACATGATTCGATCAATGCTTAAGAGCAAGAACATGTCGAAAGAATTCTGGGCAGAAGGTGTACAATGTGCTGTTTATGTTCATAATCGATGTCCACATTCGAAGTTAGAAGATCAAACACCAAAAGAAGCATGGAGCAGACAAAAGCCAACAATTTCTTATCTCAAAGTATTTGGTAGTGTATCTTATGCACATGTACCAGATCAACGAAGAACGAAACTTGAAGACAAAAGTTAAAAGTATATATTCATTGGGTATGATAAGAAGAAAAAAAGGTACAAGCTATTTTACCCCATAAGCAAGAACGTGATCGTGAGTAGACACGTTCGAATAAACGAAGCGAGCAAGTGGGACTGGAACAATTCAACAGAAGTTATCGACGCAGTCGAAGACTCATGTGTCACTGTACCAACAAGCATTTCAACAGAACATGAAGATACTTAAAATAAAGATGAACCTCTACAATCCAGAATGTGAAGTTTGCAAGATTTATATGATTTGATAAATGAGGTACACCTTGTGTGCCTTCTGGAAGATGCTGAAAACATCAGTTTCGAAGAAGCGTTACCATGGACGAAGAGATTAGAGCAATAGACCGCAACAACACTTGGGAGCTAGTCGAATTTCCAAAAGGTAGTCGATCCATTGGTGTAAAGTGGGTATTCAAGAAAAATATGAACGCTCAAGGATAAATAGAATGATACAAAGTGCGACTTGTTGTGAAGGGATACAAATAAAAAGCGGGAATTGACTATGACGAAGTGTTTGCACCTGTTGCAAGAGTGGAGACAATTCGATTGCCCATTTCTGAAGCTGCTCAATTCAAATGGCCGATATTTCAAATGGATGTCAAGAAAGCATTTTTGAATGGTGTACTCGAAGAAGAAGTCTATGTCGAACAACCACTCGGGTATATGAGGATTGGAGAAGAGAAGAAGGTGCTGAAATTGAAGAAAGCGTTATATGAGCTGAAGCAAGCACCGCGGGCATGTAACACATGCATCTCCACATATTTCAAGGAGAATGGGTTCGAGCAATGTCCGTATGAACATGCCCTCTATGTGAAGAAAAATGGAAGTAATGTATTACTTGTTGCTCTCTATGTCGATGACCTTATTTTTCTAGGCAGTGATGATCAGATGATAGAAGAATTCAAGAACACCATGACACGTGAATTCAAAATGACAAACTTAGGTCTGATGAGATTCTTTTTTGATCTGGAGGTTCGACAAGAAGAAACTGGAATCTTTATTTCACAGGAAAAATATGCAAAAGAAATCTTGAAAAAATATAAGATGAAAAGCTGTAATCCAACTTCGACGCCAATGGAACCAGGTGCAAAATTGTCGAAATTTAATGGAGGAGAACATGTCGAAGTAAGCAAATATCGAAGCTTGGTAGGTAGTCTTCTCTATCTCACATGCACAAGGACAGACATTTCATTAACTATCGGCATTGTAAGTCGATTCATGGAGGAGCCAGTACATTCACATTGGAAGGCATTGAAACGAATCCTAAGGTACATCCAAGGAACAATGTCATTTGGAGTGTTCTATTCAAGAACAGAAGATTACAAGTTAGTTGGTTACTCTGACCGTGATTGGTGTGGAGATGTAGACGATCAAAAAAGCACTTATGGATATATGTTCTTCATGGGAAACACCATATTTACTTGGCTTTCTAAAAAGAAACCGATAGTAACACTTTTGACATGTGAAGCTGAATATGTGGCAGCATCTTGGTGCGTTTGTCATGCATTATGGCTTAGAAGATTGATGAGCAAAATGGAGCTAAAACAGGAAGGTGCAACTGTAATACAAGTGAAAAATAAATTAACAATCGAGTTGGTAAAGAATCCAGTAAACCATGAAATAAGAAAACACATTGATGTTCACTTCCACTTCATTCGAGAACATGTGAAGGAAGGAAGTGTCAGATTGAGGCATGTAGCAAGCAAGGATCAAGCAGCATATATTTTCACAAAACCATTATCGAAAGAAATTTTCGACAGTGGCAAGAAATTGATAGGCATGATGGATAGAAAAAACATTTAAGTTTACATAGGAGTTTTGTTGAATAAACTTTAATGTTATAAATAGTGACTTATAATTGGAAGGCCAAGAGATAGTGGCTTATAATAGTATTTACCAATATCATTTTCTTTCCTAGAATAGTAGAAGTCCTTGAGTCTATATAAAGGCCAAAATTGTATTCTATTTGATAACAAGTTATAAAAGTATTTGCTTCCTTTCTAACATTTCTGACGCATGGAAAAGTGACACCTCCAATCATGTGACTTCAAAAGCGAAAGTGTATCAATCACCAAAG